AGCCTTGTTCCAGCTGCAGATCCAATGCTCCCCAAAAATTCACATTGTTACCCTAACAGGTATTTTGAAGGTTTTTCTTGCCAAAAAGTGCACAACACATGTGCATCCTAGCATGTGGAATATATGCTAGAAGGAGAAAAATGAATGTTGTAACAAGTTAGAAGAAAATTGTATTAATTCTGACTCTTTTTAAATGCACTTATCTAGTTTTGTAGCATTTGCACTATTTCTGTAAACTACATTCCAATGCATGGGCATGGTCAACTTTTTTGTTCTTAAAAATCTTCAGCTAGAAAAAAGTTTCAGTGTATTGCAATGCAGTTTTTCCTTTCCTATGTCTTTGTGATGAGGTATTTAGCAGAATTTTCCTTTTTGGAATTGGACTGGTCTGTACCATAAGCACTTCTGCCTTGAACTTGTGACTTCTAGGCTATCAACTGAACCCCTTAGTGCCCAGGCCACCTCAGCCCCCACTACTTTAAAACACCAACGGATACTGCAGAGAGTGCTATTTGCTTGATGGAAACAGCTGTTAATTTACCATTCATGTAGATTTCAGGGCCAGAGGCATAGTTTTTATACTGTGTGAGGTCTATGACTTCTCTGGAGCAGATTCATTTGTACACAATGGACTGGACCCAAGTAATGGGTTGTGCTATTTTGTTAGCTTTTAAGTTGATTTGTTTAGTGGCTTAGTTTTACTGACCATTAACCCAATATGCCTAATATAAACTGTAGGAACTATAAACTGGCTCAGAACTTTGCCCCTTTTTACATTTAAAATTTCTATTTTAAATTGCCAAGACTTTACCAGATTCTTTCAACCAGATGTTATGTGAATGTAATTTTTCCTTTAAAGGAGAGCTAATCTCTACATTTTAGGTGCAATTATTTCTTCAAGGAAGAAAATGCTACTGAGAGAAAATGAATAAATATGAGTTGCAACTGCATAAATACTTCTGGAACTGATGATTTAACTTTCAAGTGCCATAATACTTCAAAGGAGAAATCTAAAAAATAGATTAGGATCCAATAGTACATCCTTGCCTGGTAGGATCTGTCTGAAAAACAATCTATCCTACAGTATAAGCAAAGGGTGAGATCCTGTAATCAGCTGAGCTTGTGCATATCTTTAGATGTCTGCGTGGTCCCATAGGATGCAGACTGTCATGCTCCAGCTGGACTCTGCCCAGCAACAGATGCCATCAGGCCTCTCCTTACAATCCAGAAAAGCCCCTGTTTGGCTTGCCGCATGGCCCTGTCATGTGCTAGGGAAACCCCGTCCCCTGTGGAAAATCCCCGCAAGCATTTTAGCACGAAAATGTGACCAAGCGGGGCTTGAAATTATGTTTGTCATCTGGCCTATAAAAGGTAGGGTTGAGTTTCTGCCCAAGGAAGAAGCCAGAGCGTTCACTCCTCAGTGGGTAGGCCCGGCCAGATTCCCAAGGCTTTTCCTGCCTCCAGAACATTAGGCAATCATTTGTGCACTCATTCAACCACTCGTTCAACTGTTTGTACATTGTTGTTTTCAGTCTTGGACCCAGCGCTCTGTTTTCTGTTCATTCATCCCTCACCTGAACTGGGAAAGATCCAAGTATAACTGCCTGCGCGGCTACATCCACACCGGTAGTGCATAAGTAAGAGATCAGATAAAATAAAAAAATTTTCTGGAACCATTACGAGTCTACCTCTCCCTCTCGCAAACTAACATCAGGGGATAGAATCCACCTGGGCAATAGCCACAACCTGGCTCGCACCCCAAACACAGACTAAACTTACAAAGGTGCATGTTTGTAGAAGCAAGACTCAAATATTGAGCCTAATAAAAATTCACCTGAAGAACTCCAGTTGAGGTTGCTGGACCTGAGGTTTATCAAAATCACCTAGGAGGCAATAAAAAAAAAAACTGAAGAAAATTGCTATTTGGCTAAATTGTTTTAAACAAAAACAATCACGTTTCTGTATGATGACAAATTATGTTTGGCAGCCATGACATACTTTTAAAATGCTATTGACATTGTAAAGGAAGGACTTTTCAATCATATATGCAAATAAGAGCACTTGGAGCTGTCCTGCTGCCTTCAGAGGGAACTTGATAGAGTAGTGACGGACAGATGTAACAGCCAGGGTCTGTGCCTGCAGTGGCAGTAGGAACTAGAGTGGCTGCACCAGCTGGGCTAGCAGCAGTGGCAGCTGTTGTTCATGTACGCTCTAAGTGAAGGCTAG